AACCATTATTTGGTTTATTGGCGCCGCCGCATGATGGTGGTATGGAAGATGTTTTATCATGTACTTATGTGATGAGCAAAGATGCAAGCACCGAGTCTTTTTTCATGTGTCGGGGTGTTTAAGTAGTATCCCCTAGATCAGTCTCTAATTGGGCGCTCAAAGTGCACCAGATTGAAGCATTTTACTTTAAAATGTTAAAAAGGGGGGGCACCCCGGACCCCCCTAGAGGATGTGAAGTCCACCCCCCCAATTAAAACATGTTATAATACTAAATACATTTGAAGCCTTGTTATATAAGCTTTCCACCATGTCAATATGTTTCTCTTTTTGTAGTGTATTGGTCTTTTGTAGAGGTTTTTCATTGCCAGCTAAAATCTTGCCTATAGCACATTGGTCAGAACCAGCCCTGGTGTCATCCCCACAGCACCCCCCATTTGAAACATGTTCCCACGGCTATGGTTATGAGTTTTTACAGTTAATTAATGCACTGTTGTTGGGGGGAGAGACCGCCCCTTCCATATGTGTGTGTGTGTGTGTGTACGGCGGGCATCAGGCGTGCATGACGGGACGAGTTGTGTTCGTATGTGGAAAAGTCATACTCAATGCGGTGAACGCTGGCTTTATTGCTACTGTATCCGTAGCACTAGTACCCCACGGAATAGTTGGGACTGTCTAGTGACGTCAGTAAAAAAGGTTTGCCCCCCCCAAGCGCAAATGTCAAACTCCGCCTATGGTCTGACTTCCTGACCTCTAACTCCCATGAAAGCTCAGTAGAGACCCAGGTGGACATTAATGAACTTCCCTTCTGAAGATGCATCAGATACACAGCCTGATGCCAACAGTGTCAGAAATAATTGGGGAAAAATGGCAAAAATACCTCCAAATTCAACACAATCAATAGGGCCCAAAAATATGTGGTTTTGAATGTAAAAGCCTTTAAAATTCTAGATTTTTTAAAAATGTTTTAAAAATCTACTAGTCGAAAATATGTCATATGAATGGTCTGCAAAAGTGCAAGTATAAACATATCAAGGCTTCTAAGGCAGACTAGTGAGTAGTGACCGTAATGACCACAATAACATCAGTCGTCTCATTTACTAGCTTGTTAGTAGCCACCTTTATTAAGACACGAAAAAGCTTTGAAGATCAAAAATAGAGTATTTACGAACTTCTTTTATGTACAGTAGTAGAACTAAATATCGAAGCCTCTAAACCCCAGCCCTCATTTCAGGTGTTAAATCAAAAACGTATTCAAAAAACCCATTAACTTTGAGACGAGTGAACCAATAGGCAAACATGCAAACTAATTTCCAGGTTTTAGGATTTATACCAGCAGCACAAATAACACATTTGCCTCAGGGGGCTTAACAATTTTTACACTTCCCTGTGGGACACCCTCAATCTTTAGATCCTCAATTTTGATAAAGAAAACTCCTCCCAAGAAAACCTAAACTCACTGCTCCCAAAGAATAGACAGCTACGGTCCATAACACTGATACGTGGCTTGACTCATGGCAGCATGTTTGATGCAAGCGACCAGCATTGGCGCAATCATAATTATTAGTTCAAAAACTCCTGGTTCTGACCACTGAATTGCTTTCCACATCCCAATGTATTCTGATTATCAGTATCATAATCCTAAAGTACCAAGATCAGACTGTCTACAGTTGAGCTTGGTAGCAGCATGAGTTTGCATTATAAGGATTGCCATTTAGCAATTAGGCAGCGTCAAAACAAAGAGTGTAGGAAGGAAGGAGCAGTCTCAATAGCCACAATGTTCATATATAGTGTGTTACTTGAACTAGGCGTTGGTGGTAGGTTAGCTTTTGTGGAGAACCTCATATTACAAAGTTGTTATGTTGACCGTGAATGACATAACAAGTTCCATCCCCGATGATTTCCTGCCCATGTCTACAAGAACTTGAAACAATGGGATCTGACAAGCTCTGTTCTAGAAATTAGGATGCTTGCCAGACCATCACTGCCAGCAAGCCATAAATGTTTCATGTGGTACTGATATGGTAATCATTGGATCCCTACAATGACACCTTGTGAGAGTTGGATAACGATGGCTGTCTTTCAGGCCTCTGTGACTCTGGCCGCGGTCCAACAGCTGAGGCACAGCCTGAAGAGTGAATCAGCCAGTTAAAACGGCTCTGTTGCACCCAATAGGTGCATACAAATCTCAAAGATGAAGGAAATAAAGGTGCAACGGGTCTCCTCTAAGCATCTTGCAGACATACAGCCTCTCTGATGCAAATGCATTCCTCTGAGTTAAATATGCATTGCGTTTCATGAGGTTTGCGAGTGGGTCCAGGTGCCCGTTGGTGGCACAGACCCAGCTGGAGGATGTGGCTGCCTCGCTCCGCTGGCGCTCAGGCTGGCATACTAACAGAGCCAGGGGTGCTTTCACAGGGAGTTGAAAGAGGCTGGCTCGGGCGCCACACACCCAGGGTTCAGACACACGAGCTCCAGCTGCATGTCCATTAGCTCGCATAGCTAAAGAAATTGCAGATCCAAAGTGAATTTTTTTAAACTGGTCCGTGACAAGAATATCGATCTTATGACATTCGCTTACATGCACCGCAATCACATCTGCCTCCTCTATGCACGCGAGATTCTGTGAGATTAATTGTTGGGGTGAAATAAAGGAATTTTCCAATCACAGGGGATGAAGCAATAAAAGGCCAACATGTCTAAAAGAGCTTAATGTATTATTGCTCTGAGGCTTGTGTAAGCCTTTTATTAAATTGAAACAATCTTGTCAGACACCTGTTGTTCTTGCAGGGGTATTTATTGTTGGCCTATGTCAGCACACTGTAATCCCTGGATAGTACATGGCTGTATTACTAGAGTGACCTATTCTTGGTCATCATAATTTCCTGTATGTGTGTTGTGTGAGGAGGGAGACAGAGGGAAGTGACAGCGTTCATGTGCATGAGTGTGTGTGTGTGTGTGTGTGTGTGTGTGTGTGTGTGTGTGTGTGTGTGTGTGTGTGTGTGTGTCCAGTGATTGCCGGCACCCTTCAGCCATTTCATTTGAGATTTTGTTGACACCCAATGTCATGCAGAACAAATCGCCTATTGCTGACACCAGTGATTTCTTGTCTCCAGTGCTGAGAAGTGTGTGTGGAGGCAAAACAGTTGGGTCTTACTGACGGAGACTTGGACATTTCTGTGATTAAGTGGTAATAGCCCGGGACGTGACAGGGAAACGGGGGACTTCATTGGTCACAGGGCAAGAAAACCTGCACACCTCCAGTTGTATGGGGCTATTTTTGAGAGAGTATATAATTACTTCTAGAGTTTTGCTCCAAAAGTCTCTAAGCTGGCATTTAAACTGTGTGAAAAACTGTGTGAAAAAGCAAGAATACTCTGTTTTGCACACAGTATCATTGGTGAAGTGATTGACACACATGATCAACATTATTGTTTAAAAGTAAAGAGGACTCTCATCTTTCTACCACCTTTGCCACGCCTGCCTTGAATTCCTATTGGCTTTACCCACTAATTGTGGCCTGAGTTCCTATGGTATTGTTGCGTGCCTGTGGTTTGGGTTAAGGCCACGGTTATATTAAGACATGGGTATTTTACCATCTATTATAGAACACACTATCAGCTCAGATAATCAGGGTTGTCTGTAGTCTGATTTATGTGTGAGGTTTTTGGAGAGAGTGATGCACTGCTTAAGAAACCGAGAGTCTGAACCTAAATGTAAGACACAGATAGAAATAAACAATAATTAGAAGGTGATGTTTCTTTGGGAATATATAATAGTTATTTGAGCACTGACAGACAGACCTCTGGTACTGGTGGCTCCTGTGTGAAATGTATAAATGGTGTTATGGGGACATCTACTGGCTAATGTGAGAGCAGTCACAATACAGTACTATTTATTCCAAATATTTGGTAGAATTCCAATGATATTGTTTTGTGTATTGTACCTGTGTGCCAAGAGATATAAATTCCTTATTGCACCTTTAGTTATCACATTACAATATTACTCATTTTAAACAGTTATGCAGTTGGTTTAAATGGTGTAAGGCCTTCCTCAAACTGCCACGATGAAGTTCCCTTTTATATTATTTTTATTTGCAATTTCTGGTTAAATAACAAGCACATTTAAATTGATTTATTCCTCATCTAAAGGAAATATTCAGATCCTTCACTTAATGAATACAACTTACACTATTGTGTTAAAATACTCTGTTGTGTAAAAGTCCTGCCTGAAAAAATTCAAACACACATAAACATAGAAAATCATTATTAACATAAATTCATCCATCATACAGAAAGTATTTCGTATTGCTGGACTCTGATTATTGATGCATCATTGTGTAAATCACTCAATTGTTGCAGTTGATGCGGTAGTTATAACTACTTCAAATACAGTTTTGTTGCTTGGAAAATTCACATCTGTTGACAAATTAAGACTTATAATCTTTTGACAATAACCATTAAGTTATGTTTAATCGTGTTCTTTAAAAATGTCTGCCTCAAATGTAGTGGAGTAGAAATATAATGACACAGAAACTGAAAATACTACTAATAGTACGTAGCCTACGTAGTAAGTCCTTTTTTTATATAAACAAGTGTCATGCACCAAAATGTGCCCATCCCATTTGGGCTTAAAAGAAACTACAAATAAACCACTTTAAGAACTGAATGATTGATTGCATCTTTGTAGGGATCATTATGGATATACCACATTGTGTCCATGTTAAACATAATAACAATACACACAAAAATAATGACATCTTAATTGGAGCCGTAATGGCAGAATCGCTGCTCCCTGACCCTAAAAAAATGAACGACACTGCACCTGACCACACAGCAAATCACAACGCGTCTGGCAGCCAGTCAGATTTCAGGAAGCTAGCACCACTGGTTGACGAGCATTTATATTATCCAATCAGAGATTTACAACAGGCCTCGAGTCCCGCCTTTACTCTTCTTGTAGCCAATTAGAACACAGCAATAATTACTTATTCATTACATTGCAAAGGGGAGTGACGCAGTTATTGTAAATCTACAGATACTCCATGCTTTTTTCACATGAACCGATAAACATAATTTTTCCAAGCTTTGGAATTTCAAATCTTTCTTAAAAAAATAGCAAAGAAGAGTGATTCCTGCTGTCATCTGAAAGGCTGTGTGCCGAATCTCTGCAGCCTTTACATTTGGATGCCATTCTGGTTGGAGGTTGCGGTACACCACCCCGAGGACTAGATGCGATAACCAGGACGAGATATGCCGCAGCCGAAATCACGAAAAATTGCCATCCTCGGGTACAGATCCGTAGGTAAGTTCCCAAACGACGATGAAAAATGGGTAGAATAAAGACATCCAGGCGCGTCTTGGATGCGACCCTGGGGCTACATTTTATCGGCCTTATGGGTCAATTTAGGTCCATAATGGGAGCCATTACGCTCCCTATAATAGACTTTAATGATGGGGAGTAAGGTCTGTTATGCAGCATCTCACAGCAGGAGGCTGAGCGCCACCAGGTGAGACATGGCTCTGCGTGTTTTATCACATGAGGCCTCCCGTAATGTGTTCCACATATATATATATATTAACGCTAAATGTCCTTATTCATGCGACTCCATCAGTGACCCTATCCCTGGTTTAGTTGGTGCCATGTTTTATGAGGGGCATGAAGGTCCAACCGAATTTGACGCATTACTGTGCGGTTTGTTTGATCGTATCTGAAACCAAAGAAGCGCAATTTGCATGCAGTGAAGGGATGTTGGGGATGGCAAGATGGCACACGCAGATAGAAACACTGTAGGCCCAGCCAGCACAGCATCACCAACACAACCATGTCATATTCCCATAGAGAGATTGGGTTATGTTAATGGTGGCCTACTAAGTTACATCTCATGGTATTTATATAGGGATTTAGGAAGGTGATTTTAAGCTTGACTGATATGCTGATGATTACACTTTGTTTCTCAATCAGCCAAGTTGTTTTGTCCTGTATGATTAATGAACACTAGTCGAAGGACTGCAAACCATTATTTTGAAGCTTTTGTGAATTTATTTTCAAATTTCCAATTATTTCACCACATGTTATCTGTTTACAATATTCCTTTGTGTTTTTGCAGGAAAGTCCTCTTTGACCATTCAGTTTGTTGAAGGCCAGTTTGTGGACTCCTATGACCCGACAATAGAAAACAGTAAGTGGGAAAGGTTGACTGTCACAGCCTCTGTAAACAAACAGGAAACTGAGATTCCTCCTCTTGTGACCAGTTCATTAGATGAAAATAAACAAAAGCCACACTAACTATAATATGTTGAAATTAATCATTTCTATACTCTGTGTTCCCTTGTGTTACAAAGTTAAGTCTGATCAGTTTCCAAGAGTTTCCAACCTGAATGTGACACCCTGTGTCCTTAAACCTCCAATTATATATATATGTGAAACTCCACACAACAGAATGTGTTATTATGTTCGAAACCTATATGATAATTGTTGTTGACAAAATAATTCTCAACTAAAGGTCCACTTACACTTTGTTTCCAAAGCTTTAGCTACATCTTGTGGCCTTACTCCGTGTATAAATTACCTCAGATGTAGCTGTTATCGTATTAACCTCATATGATACTGCAGTCACATGATAACAGAATGCAGAAGCATTTACAATTGGGCTGCAACTAATGCAAGAAAGTATTATTTTGATTAGAGATTACAAAAAAAATAGTTTACAAAATGTCATAAAATAGCAGTAACATAATCCATTATATTTCCTCAAAGTCCTTGTCATCATATTGCTGTTGTGTCTTTGTTTGGCCAAAATAACTAAACATATTTCCTTTGTAATCATTTAAAACAGAGAAAAGGTGCAAATCCTTACATTTGACAAGTTGGAACTAGAGAAGTTTAGTTAACAAAGGTGACAACTATCATTACAGTTTTTAATTGTGTCATTCTACTGGCCGATATTGATTGCAGGTCTTATACATTATCACACTATATAAATAGTATGTCATTGCATAGCAAACATTTGACAATGGGCGTATTGGACAAGTACTCAGACATCTCCAAATAAACAATGTCCAAATGTGTCATTATTCTTTATTTTGGTTTTATATAAACTGAGCTCGTTACCATCATCGCAATCGTACACCTTATTCACTTTTATATCATGATTTCACTGAAAGAAGAAACAATTATTATAGCCCTGAATAGTAACCTAGCAGGGCGTGATGTTCCCTCTAATTAAATGTGTCCAAACACTACACCAGCTGATTTCAGCTTCCACACTTTCAGCCAAAAAGAAGGACTCTATTTTTAGGACCTTTTGGAAAAATCAGCTGGTGTGGAGTTTGTTCAGATTTATACGTTGACTTGAGTGGAATAAGCTCGAAAATCAGTGCGAGAGGGAATTTAGCTTGAGGGTAGTTTAAAAGCACATTTTCTGATTGAGAGTAACTTACAGTAATTCATCAAGCTACTACTGCAAACACACATATTCCCAGACACTCCAGGGATTTGAGTCTGAACTTTACCTGCAGGCTGTTTTTCTGTTTCCCGACACGCTCGCCCCCGTATCACCCTAAGTTTCTCGAGTGTGTGGTCTGCGTCTATAAATAATCTCTGGATGGGTATAAAGTGAAGTGTCAGTGATATCAGCGAGATGCTGCAGGCAGCGCAATCCCTCAGTCCTGTAGATAATGTGACCCATCTCCAGGCAGATATTGACATTCCTGTGCTGGATGAACTCAGTGGTACCGAAAGGGATCCATACGGGGATGTGCAGATGGAAAACGTACAGTAATGAAGATACATTATAGCACTGTATAGTATAAATAGTGTAGTACATACAGTGTTAGTAAGTCTTACTTTAAAAGGTCTTGCTCTCAGTAGCGGATAATCGGAAAAAGAAATAATACAAAACATTTAACTCAAAATAAAACTGGCCCCAGCTAGAGAATCTTACGTAGAGGAATGATCCAAGTCGAGCGTTGTTTCGTAGATTTATTTCCAAAAGTACAATGAACAATGGTTTCATCTATTACTGTCCCGCAGCCTTTCCTATAGCTTTCCTTGGCTCACCCTGGTAAAACAAAACATTTGCCTATACTGGTGCCCTTATCTCCAATATATACCCGATCAGCAGGTGCCCAAATCAACCAGTGCCCAAAAATGCCTTCAAGATAAAAGCATAAGGAACTAATTACATCAACTTAAATTACACTAAATAAAAGGTATATTTAGAAGAAACAAAAACGGCAAGAGAAGAAATGTTTAACTATTAATACGGTGCGATACGACACACTTTATTGTCCTCGTAAAGACATTTGTTTTTGGACAGTTCCACAAAAGATAGAACATAATAAATACGACCCAGCATATTCACACATGAGTCACATCACAAATAAATCAATATATAGCTCCAACACTCTCCATCCATCTATTGGTTCAACTTTCTTTTCTTTTGACTGCAGCATTCACTAAAACGATCACAATAAATGGACAAGAGTATCATCTTCAGCTGGTCGACACAGCAGGACAGGTATAGTTACTGAATTTGATCAAATATACATTAATAGTTAACTGTTCATTCTGCCTTGTTACTTATAGTCAGAATAACTTTGAATCCCTTCTTTTTGTATCTCTATAGGATGAGTACTCTATCTTCCCACAGACCTACTCCATAGATATCAACGGTTACATTCTGGTCTATTCAGTCACTTCCAATAAAAGGTATACTTTTCCTCCCCTCCTTATCAAAAGGATATATGAAGTTCTGTATAATGAGATGAAACGCCATTCAAAGGCTTAAGAGGAAACTTCCCCTTGTTTGTTTCAGCTTTGAAGTTGTACAAGTTATCCATGAAAAACTATTGGACATGGTGGGAAAAGTTCAGTAAGTTCTTCGCCTATTTTATCTTCTTGTTATGCTGCCTTAGGCTTTCCAAGACATGTCATTTATCAAACATACATGACAATTTGCCGTTTACTTTTCCCTCTATTGCAGAGTTCCAATTATGCTCGTCGGAAACAAGAACGACCTACATATGGAGCGGTATGTCCCAACACACTTCAAACTGAACATTAGGTCAACCATTCACAATAGGTATACACATGGGGCATAGCATTTGTCAGTTTTTATTGTATTTCCTCATTTTCATCTTCATATCACACAAACAGAAATACAGAGCAGATGTTAATGTTTTGTTCACAGATGACCCAAAAGACGGAGGTAGCTCGAGTAGTAATACTTGTTCATAATAACAGTTTGTGTAGCTCTTTTCGCATATACCTTAGTCAGTGGAAGCAGAATCCATAGGTTGAACTAGGTTGAACTTGATTTATGTTTTTTTTTTCATTTTAGAGTAATCAGTTGTGAAGAAGGAAAAGCATTAGCCGAATCCTGGAACGCTGCCTTCATGGAGTCCTCAGCTAAAGAGAACCAGGTAAGAGTCAAAACTGCAGAGATCATATTCAGATAACAGCACTTTGTTTATGTTTGGGATGGATCTTATCAAGAACTATTTATCTGTCGGTTAATCCCACTAGAGAATTTGTTTATGAACCAGATGTGAGTTTACACCCTTAAAAATGTTACCAGTAAACGTTTGGGGGTATGCAGTATGAAATGTGCGTGTCTACCAGGTGGGGGGTGTCTGACCAATAGATGATGACAAGTTGAATTCTGGGAAGTGTAGGATCTAGCATCTTCACCTATACACCAGAGACGTATTTTGACTTTTTTTGTTTAAATCTGTCTTTTTTATTAAGTGGTGAGTCATGGTGGCAGATCCTCAATGAAATGTTACCCAACTTGTTTCTCTACCAAGTGTTTAAACGTCTTTCAGCTCATTGTTTGGGATAAAAGGCCCTCAACTTGTGCTTCATTTGTGTTTCAATCTCACTGCTCTCATCACCTGATTTCGCCAAAAAGCTAAAAACAAAACAGTGTAACCACAGATAAAAGAGATTGTATATTGAACTTCAAGTAACAACAGGCACATAGCTAAATGCTAATATTGCTCTGTGCCTTTTGGATGTGTAAATAACTGTTGGATAACAGCTTTTATATATTCACTCGATAATATATCAAAGTTGTGTTTAGAGCTAACTTTACTGCCCCCTAGTGGCCATAAATATTAATTCACGCAGATTTAACAATGGTTCAAAAGTGTATCCATTCCCTACATTTCTTCCAGGGACAGGCTAAGGCTTGGCCAACGTGAGCTAAAAGTAATCAAAAAAGTTGCCACAAAGGCCACAATAATCAGATCTTGATATATATTATGTATTTAGGAAACTTAGATAAGTTTGAAAATGGAAACACTTTCTAGGAAACTATCTGCTTCAAATTAACCTAGCAGACAAAAGTGTGTGTCTGTCTTTACATTTGCCAAAACAACACCTTCTTTGTTGTGCATAAAGCCAGTGTGCCTCTACTGGATGTAATTTGTTCTACTGGAATATTCAAAGTGGTGTGACTTAGACATGTGACAGCGTTGTGTGTGTGTGTGTGTGTGTGTGTGTGTGTGTGTGTGTGTGTGTGTGTGTGTGTGTGTGTGTGTGTGTGTGTGTGTGTGTGTGTGTGTGTGTGTTGGTGTGTGTGTGTGTGTGTGTGTGTGTGTGTGTGTCTCTATCTCTGTCAGACGGCTGTGGAAGTTTTCCGGAGGATGATCCTTGAGGCAGAGAAGATGGAAGGCGGCGTGCAACCAGGAAAAACATCCTGCTCCATGATGTAGAGCCGCCCAATCAACACACAGGACACTGCACTGGGATATCCCGTTACTTGAAGGCTAGCTGCCAGTTATTCACCACCTCAGCTGACTCCACCCCTCCAGGGTCCTAAATATCCAATACTGTCTATTTATGGCTCTGATTCCACTGTTATTTATCAGTATCACCTATTCCCTTTTGTCATCCTGGTCTTTCTTTGTGTGTTTGAAAAAAAAAGGACGAGTGGTGGTTCCCTTGTCTCCCACAGTCCACCCCTCCTCCATGTCTGTGTTCGACACTGATGCAAAACACAGAGCTTCATTAGGGTGTATCAGAAAAAATGTTTTCCTGTGCTCGGTAATGACGACTACCGTAACTATGGCCAGAGATAGTAGTGGCTTGATGCATCTTAGCTCCTCATTATGCTGCTCCCATATAGGCAACGAGTCCTTCTCTGTTTAAATAGCAAGAGATAAGACAAATGTCATGTCTGCCATGCATACGCTCTGGAAACGGATAAGAAAACGTGGACGTTTCTTCTGATACATCCCCGGCTGTCCTCCAATATAAACAGCTCTTTTTCTACTTCATCTCCACGCAGTACCCACTTCTCTGTCCCTCAGTTTGTTTGCATAGCGGTTACTGTCAGCCAACAAAAAATCTGCATCCATTTTCTAATGTTGAAAATGTTGTACAAATGTTTTTGATTGTAATCATTAAAGGAAAAAGTGATTATGTACTGCAGGGTTGAGTGTGGATTATTATTGTGTCCCCTGGGAGGCAGGGAAGGTTTGTTTTATAACCAACATTTAAAAGAAAAATGTTTAAAGAGACGGTAATATATACAACACTAAAAAAAGAGTAGAAAATACACAATTATACAACAAAAACATCTCTAAATAGAAGATAAAACAGAACTAACTTGAACTTCACGGTCAAATAAAAATAGAATTAAACACTGTTAAAGGGACAATTTACAGCTAAACAATATTATCTACCTTTCTAATGATACCCTTCTTTGAGGAGAGCTCATGATGCAGTGCAGGTGATTATTTGTTTAAGATTTAGTAAAAGTAAGCAATGCAGAAAATCTAAAATATTGTAGACCTATTTATTGAAACTTGATTGCGCCAACAAAATATTTGTTGTTGGTCTTTTTAGGGTTAGAATACCCTTAACAGAAGAGGCAGAGAGTTCAATGTAATAGTAGAGTTAAGCAATAGCTCACGACAAGCCGTGGTATATGCTCATTATATCACAGCTAAGGGGCGTGGTTCTATATCAGTTAGTTAGTTAGTTAGTTTCGACCGGACAACCCCCCTTTACAGTTACAGTTTACAGTTAGTTAGTTAGTTAGTTAGTTTCGACCGGACTTCTTTTGTCAGATGTGAGCGTCCTTAACGGTCAATAAGTCCTTGCTGCACATTATCCCTTACATGTTTCCATCTTAAGCTTTGTTAGTTAGATAGTTTCGTTACGGACGTAATGTAACAGTTACGGTTGTAGCTTTTCTCAGACGCGGAGGGATACTGATTTGTTGTGAAAAGTAACTACAATCCTACCCGTGGAACACGCTCATTATATCACGGCTCAGATTGCTTGATTTGACTTGTCCGTTTTATAAAATACGATTTTATTTGCTCCTATATTAGTGGTTAATATAAAGACAAAAGGTGGTACTTTCTCTGAATGTGTTTTACTGTTGAGAGTGATGGATTATTAATTTTAATTAAGTTTTTCTCATTTCATAGCAGAGAATTTTGAATGACTATTTTCTTTGGTCTGCTCCTCTCACTTGTGGGCGGGGCTCAGATAGAAAAAGGTGATGTCATGTTCCTCAGAGCACCAGTGAGGAGAAACCAATATTAAAATCTGAATCTGGCGACAGCTGGTGGGATGTTTGCTCACTGTCAATGCAATCTGATCCAACTACACCCTGACAGCCCTGGTGAACCAGATTTAGTTTTCCTCTTCATAAATGACTCCTAAGGGTGTTATTTCACACTTGAAGACGTTTTTCATCGAACATTAAATGTAAGATGTTTGTAAAAAAGGAATAAGGTGAAAGGCCGTTTAAAATCCTTGAGAGCTGGTGAGAAATATTTCCATCTTTTATAGGTGTCTAACAAAGATGAATGCGTTTGAGCACTTTTTTAAGGACGCTTAAGAAAAGGCCACTACAAGAACACAACCTGATAAAAATGAAACTCATGCCTTAACCGGAACCCTTTAACTTCAGAAGGTAATATTAGCAGGTAGACTTTGTATTTGACTTCCAATATAATTACACAATGTTATAGATTTCCATGCATCAGAATGACAAAATGATCCTTGTGAAACATGTTTATTTGCTCAAAGCCAAACTTTACATTTTTATAAGGTGTTGCACATGTCTTCGATACAGCAGTTGATATTGATGTAGGCGTTCATCTTCAGCATTTCGCAGTCTCCAAGAGCCATGCATTTCTGGTATTGGCCATCTAAAAAAGGGGAAAAGGTTTTAACAAAAAACGTTTCCTTCATTATATAAGAAGCACTGCACTGTGGAAGAGCCAATGGACTTTGATATATTTACATAATGTCCAAACATTTTACAAACTGTTTCAGTTAATTGACATGCAACTGACTACATGTGTCATCTCTCGCAAATTATGTTAGTTAAGTGTTTTTTTGTCTTTGTCTAGTGATTTTCCCCTTTAATTTTGATTAGTAATCTTTCCTCTCGTTTCAGATACTCTGACCTCCCTTCCTTGTGTGTCTCCCACTCCTGTGATTGTCGACCACGCCCCTGATTGTTTCCACCTGTTCCCCATTACCTGGTGTATTTATTGTCCTCGTCTCCCTCTGTCCTGTGCCAGTTCGTTTCGTTTCTTGTGACAGTCTACCAGCGTATCATGCCAGAGAGAATCCCAAGCAGAGCTTTGAGCCACGTCTTGTCTAAGTATTCTTATATTCATGCTCCTAGTGTTTTTTCCTCATTGAAGTGATGGTGGTTTGAATAAAACCTTTTTGGTAAAAACCTGTGTGAGTCGTGCAATTGAGTTCAAACCCGTTTATTCAGTCGTAACAACATGTTACAATGGAGCCACAAGAGGCCTTAAGCTATTTTCTAAATTCATTAGTATCACCACTATGACCCTCTGATTTGTATACAGTGGTTTTCTCCTCCAACTTGACTATGATTCACAGCAAAGATAATATTCACATGTTATATTGGTTAATGTACTGAGTCCATGTACTTGTTATTGATCGAAGAGTTTCAGCGTGTTGAAACACTCACGTGGGGGTGTGAGGAAGCTGGCAGCAGCACAGGCATCCTTCCCTGGCTTACACGTCTCTACACTGAGATCACAGGTTCCTCCGGCCTGTTTGGAGACACAGCGGTGGCAGTCAAGACTCTCACCTAAAAAATAAAAAAAGACAATATTTCAAGTGTTTCTGATTTGTTTCTCTTATAATTCTGTGAATGTGTTTACTGTAGGAATCCTAGCCCAATGAGCAAGTTGAATGAAATGGATTGAAAAGGTAATTAGTAAGGTTTCATCTACTTAGATGTTAAATGTGTGCATGAAGCCTCAGGTAGATACTGTGCTCTCACATGTAATCATTTCATTTCTTAGATATGACTCCTATAAACTGTTACTAAGTGTCTGACAGGTCTGCTGAGATTGTTTCTGTACAGTAAAGACAAAAGGAGAAAGCAGACGTCTCTGTTGCACAGCAGGGCTTGTGTTTATTCAGTGGAGAATGAGTGACAGACGCACCAGCTGTAAACAGCAGAGCGACGGTTAAAGCCAACACCAAGAACTTCATTGTTCTGTTCAACACTGCAGCTGTTGACAAATAAAGCACAGATTTGATTATGTATACAGTACCTGCAGTACTCTGGATATTATGGCATTTGCATTGACATTACTCCTCCTGTAAATCTTTCCATTGTGAGTGTATCTCATGATTTAAGGAACTGATTTAAAATATATACATAAATAGAATTCGGTGCAATGACAGCATGCATGCACAGAGTCATGAAATTGTACATTAAATAATAGCAACACATGTATAATCAATATTGAATGTATCTGTTATGAAAAACATTTCAAAGTGTTAAATAAATGTCATAAATAACAAACGAAAAAGGTTTAATTTAAGTGTGCATACCTTGCTGATTCTTCTGTCTCGGTTTCTGCTAAATACTGAGATGTATTCATCCACTCTACCTCTTTTTATACTCTTGGTCCCATTAACTGGTGTTTCTCTGTTAAGTCTATATACTTAGTAACTCACCCACCCTGGTACACTGTGTTCGGGGGTCAAAGTTTGCAAATGCTCAGATTCCCGCATTGTGCAAGAGCCGTCCACCCTTTGTCTACTTCTGTCATTTATGAGTCTTTCGCAAACATTAATATCTGCATTTGTCAGAGGTGCAGAGTTAGCTGTATTCAAACCTTAGGAGGACAGGAAGATATTATTGAAGGGCACAGTATGTTTGCTTTAGGTGGATTATGTCTGACCTATATGAGGTGTAATGCCTGCAGCTCGGTGCTCTCACTAACCTCGGCTTCAGACTCGTGAATTGCCTCTATACAAAGCCTGAATAGACTTGAATAGCTCTAATGAAAGAAGAGGAAAGACTGGCACTCCTGTTCAACTATTAAACACTTGAAATAAATGTCTCTAAGAGATGCTGCATAAAAGAAATGTTTTCTTTGGTGCTAAAGAAATGTGAACTCAATTTTCCTACGTATCTCCAATCCACCAGTGTCTGGGTGAAAAATGTAGCTAATTATTTTCAGAAATATTTGATGAATTTCTTTTGAAGAAAAGAGGCTACTCATGAACAAACAAACTAACATATTTTTTATTTTTGAGTGAAATACTCCCAACCAACACACAGTGTTTTACCCATTTGATTGACAGCTTTAATGTGAAGACCAAACCTTGTTGGACTTTCTAATCTCAAAAGACCCATTTGAGTGCACTGAATCATTTGAATGTGTGTGTTTCATCTCCTCTCTATGCCACTTTAGAAAGAGAGAGGGGGCTGAAATCGTACAGTACATGAAAGACAGGTTTTCATCTGTTTTGTATCCTGCTCCACCTGTCTTACTTTAAAACTGCTGCTCTTTGATGCTTTAACGGTGGGAAATTGTCATGGTTCAAGGTCTAAAGTATCCAGGGATTGTGCCTGGATCAGCAGAGAAACACAACAGAGAGTGAGCTGGAAGAAAAGCTGGATGAAAATCTGTTTTCGGAGTATCAGATCTGCTGCCATCAAAACTCAGACATTAACTAGGACCACACCTTTTTACATTTTCCCAGTTACTCACACAAGTTATCAGAAGGTGGATTTTCTTATGTGCACTTTGTACTTTCACCTCTGATTTCACTTCTTTGTTTGCTTTCCTACCACCACCCAAATAATATTCTGCAACATCACTCCCAAAGCCCAATCATAGCAGAATCTCTCCCCTTCTATTGTTTGGTCCAACCCAAAGAGCCAAACTACAATATCAGCAGTGGCGCATGTATGGGAAACTGTCCATGTGGCAAAATGTCTAAACCCCCCATTGTTGTGCTTTTGTTGCCTCTGCCTCGTGATACCGCCACACTCCCTGTTGTCCATATATATCTGGGAGGCCAAATTTTTCCACTTAGACTTTGTGACTAGTTTGGAACAGCGAACAGTGGAAAATGTCTCAGTACTCAGGAAAGGTGAGTACCACAACAGAGGATGGCAGTGAAACTAAATCATGTTACGGCACACAAACATATGTCAACTTCAAAGGCAGTTGAGATAGCGGATTGGTCCAACTTCACATTTAAAATGTTGAGTGGCACTTTGACAATAGATCTTTACGACTTTTTCCATTCCAGTATCCGTTTAATATTTGATTCTCCACTGCTTTAACAAACAGATCGTGTTCTATGAGGGGAAATGCTTCACCGGGAGGAAGCTGGAGATCTGCAGCGACTGTGACAACTTCCAGGACCGTGGCTTCATGAACAGGGTAAACTCTGTCCGTGTGGAGAGCGGGGCCTACGTCTGCTATGACCACCCAGACTTCAAGGGCCAGCAGTACATTCTGGAGCATGGAGAATACCCCGAATTCCAGCGCTGGAATTCCCATAACGATCACATGGGCTCCTGCAAGCCAATCAGGATGGTAAGTGTGTGTGTGTGTGTGTGTGTGTGTGTGTGTGTGTGTGTGTGTGTACGTGTGTGTACGTGTGTGTAAGGGAAAGACAGAGACAGAAAGACCCCAGGGACAGACAAATATTTGTGTTTTTTTAAGGCTGGCACATGTGTGGCCCCATGTGTGCACTTCTGTTTTTCCAATTACTGCAGAATGATTTCCTATAGGTCTATAATAACTCAGACATAAGTGTGTTGGCGTACAGAAGCATATCGATAGCTTGCAGGTCTTCACATCTCATACATTAACGCCATCAGCTGAAAGAAAATCACATATTTAAAGTGCACTTGAGACGTATTGCAGAGCGTGGGTTTTACATATTGTCCTCCGTGAACATTTAACCTATAGATTTCTATGGAATGTGTTGGCGCATACAACACAGTGCTTGTCTTATAGAGACCTTGGTTCTATGCAATGAGTTGACTATTTTTGCAAAGAATCAGTGAGAGGGCATGTTATTATCCTCCACAGCATGGAGAGCACTACAGGATGGAGCTGTTCGAGGGAGACAACTTCTCAGGCGAGTGTGTGGAGCTGTGTGAAGACTGCCCCTTCCTGCAGGCTCGTGGTCTGACCAAGAGCTGCGTCAACTCCGTCAAGGTTTATGGAGATGGAGCGTAAGTATCTCTGAAGCAGGGAAAACAGTTGGTCAGAGTGTTTTAACCTGCTCAGAAAACTTACAAGCACCAACATGTGCATTTTTAAAGCGTCAGTTTGCCCCCAAATAAACATTTGAAAGATGTATTTATTAGTTTTGACATGCAAAAAACACCTTTTCATCAGTAGATTCACACGAACCACTTTGTTTGCTTTTGGGTGTATTGCATAGCTTTTAATGTTGCGTTAGACATTATACAGCAGCATCACTTTCTAGAAAAAGTGTCCTTGATACTCTGTCAATGTCTGAGGATAATTCAGATTAAATGAGAGAGGCTGGGGAAATACGTTTTTTTGAATTTATAAGTCATGACTTTATTTATTTATGCTTAAAAAACTAAATTATACTAACCAACATTGTGTTGGAGGAGGGCTACTAGAGGTGGTGTGCCCCAGTGGCCATGTACCAGCTGCATCTACCCTCACTTCTTGTCTCCTATCTATCGACCAACACTCAATTAAAGACATAAATTGCCCCACAATAAAATATATAAAAGAAAATATGGTTTTTTATTAGAGTTGTCTGTCTCAGATCTTAGGGAAAACGATAAATCATCTATAAATACAAGATGTATGACAGACAATATGTTTAATATTTTGGCCCCTTTAAACTCTAAACATTGATTTTAGACAGTATATATGACAAGTCAGATATCACTGTCACACATGTATTATATTTAAATATATGTTAATGTTTTTATTCATTTTCTCAAACAGCTGGGTGATGTATGAGGAGCCTAACTACCGCGGACGCATGTACATCGTGGAGAGAAGAAACTACAGCACCCACATGGAGTGGCAGGCGGAGAACCCCAGCATCCAGTCTGTTCGCAGGGTGGCAAACTACTTCTAAAAGCCCCTCACAGTCACAGGCAATGTGTCTGCGAGCGTCAGATCATCAACTGAGGAAAAACACACCCCACTGTCAAGTAATCCCATGCTGACTCTGTGGGGCAGTAAAATAATAAAAGATGAAGAAAATGTTTGACATTGCTTGTTCCTTTTTTATTTTTGTACTGAATTATTCAAAGGTTGTAATAGTGATCTGGCACTATCTTCAATCTTATTTCCATTTTTTCCCTGTTTGAAACTCTTCACTTAACTACCACACTAGAAATGGCTGCAGGCTATGACTCAGGTAATTGCTGTCTCTTATACAACATAACTACAAAACTAATGGAGCCATTACCAAGTTAAATGAGATACTCTGAATACCACTGAACACAGATTAATAGAAAGCTATAGTGGCATTTTAAACATTCAGAAGGGAAATAAAATGTTTTTTTAATGCTAAAAATAAAACATTACATGTCACTTGTTAGACGCTATTATCCAAAGCGACTTTCATACTCAATACTGTGGGTAATCCCCACAGGAGCAATTTGGGGTGAAGTGTCTTGACCAGGGACACAACGACTGCAGTGGGGTTTGAACCTGTGCTCCCCTGCTCCGAACACCTGATCCGAACACCAACGTACTAGTCCACTACGCCACAAACTCTTTCCCTCAGGTGTGGCAGACAGCAGTAAACAATAAAAATGGTGTGGTCTCCGAACATATACAGTGTATAAATCAAGAGTGAAAAAGGGATATTGGACAGGTTGAAGCTGTATCTGCCCCTGCCCCGGGGAGCTCTGCTACCACCTAGTGTCATTTATCTATTTTACTGTGAAGTCCTGACGCTCACCTCAGGGTTTTTTAAGCGGTCACAAGAGGGACTCGCAACCTCATTGTCACAAACATCTGAAAAATACCCATATTTTGCAATTCTTCTGTGGATGAACTAAGATTATAAAATAAACAATAGTTCTGAATGATTTATTAATTAAAGGAGCACTATTATACAAATGTTCAGGTTCATAATTGTATTTTGTGCCTCTACTGTGACATGCTTACATACTTTAATGTTCAATTATTTTTCTCATACTGCCTGTGCTGCAGCACCTATTTTCACCCTCTGTCTGAAACCAGAGCCCAGTCTTGGTTAGCTGGCCGGCTCAGTTGTGATTGGTCAGCCGCTTAGAGATGTCCTGCCCCTTAATCTATCATGTACAATGTGTTGGAGAGCTAGCCAATAGAAGCTGAGTGTTTCAAAGGGATATCACTATGTTCAGGCAGTAAACGCATGAGTACAATCGAGCATTTCAGGTTACTCCCTCTGGAGGGAACAGAAGGATTTTAGCCTTTGCAGACCATTTAAATGCATAAAAACCTCACACTGCCGGAAACAGAAAACCCCAATAGGGCCTCTTTAATGTTGTCCTTTCAGGGTTTACCTGAATGGACATGTGTTTATAATATGCAGTATAAGCAGTACCAGACTGCCATAAGATATCTTAAACAGCCTTTTATAACATTATCAGCTCATAGTTTCATGTTTATTTATGCACCGATGCATCATTTGCCCTGTGCTCTTATTCTTTTGGGAATGTCTGTGACCATAAGACCTTTAATGAGGACTCATGTGCTTTCTCTTCCAAATGTCATGACAACAGAACACCTATCTTTACAACATTTTGCTCATGGCCTCTATCGAGTTACCGGGTCAATATGGGATGGCTTAATGAGGAAATGCTTTGTCTTGAGTTACACTCAGTGGCACTAGTTTAAGGGCGATTACCTATGTCTAACCTTATTCCTGAGCCATTTACTCCATGAATTGTCTGGGTGTCACCAACATGCCATTAGTCTGGATGTCAAAGATGAGAAAGGAGAGAAGGAAACTGTGAGCGAGCCTTAATGGCATTTTAACAATGTCATCGCTGATTTTCTATAATGATGGGGGTTTTTTTTTTGCACAAAGGATTACCGTTTTGAAAGAGCGTGTCTTAGATACTATGCAAGGAAAAACTATGTGCAATGGTATTTTACATCCATAGATGTCTATTTCATTTCAATAAAAATACTTGATTATTTGCTCTAATGGAGCTGTGCATTCCTCTTAAGTGGGGGGATTACAAAAGAAAAGCATACCAAATGAGTGGAGAGGAAATGACTTAAAGCTTAACCTTTTTAAAGGAAATACTTTTATAAGTCTGCAGTCCGACCGAACTTTGTCACTAAGTCTGTGTTATTTAGCAATTATCAAGAGAACAAGGCAAACTTATAAAATAACACTAGAAGAGATTGGGGAAGAACATTGTCACACATTTCCTGTTTTGTGGTAATATTACAAATGCAAAGTGATTCATTATGAGCCACAGTTTGGCTTCATTTTGGTTGTGCTATGTAATAAATATTTTATATTTAAGACCCATAGGCTGGCAGAAAAATAAGCAATTAGAACGAATTTATTTAAAATAGCATTTAATGTATCCTGTTACTACAAATTAGGTCAGCTATTTTTAGCAGTGCCACTAATGCATAAAAGATAACTCAGATAGAAAAGATCTTCAGAATTGATTATACTCTTTGTGGGGCTGGAAAACAAACTTATTACACTGATACAGATAAACAGATATAATGGGTTGTGTTATGTAAATATTGAATTAGCTAGGACACTTTTGTATACAATTTGTATGTATGTTGGTATACTGCAAATACAATTAAAACATAATACCGTAGATTTTTTTAAGAGGCTAAAAATATCGCACTATCCTATTTATCACGAGTAGAATAATGAGACATTTCCTGAAAATGTAATTTAAACCCCGGGCTAAATGATAGGAAGCGAAAAGTAGTAAAATACCCACTCTGACCACAGAAAGTGCAAGTGTATACCAGCGGACCGGGGCAAATACCAACATGAAAAGCACAAATATTTCCCCTATTATTCCCCTCCGATAGTTTTTAAAAGATTAAATGAACGTAGTATCTATCTATACGAAGATAAAATAAAGTCATTCCAGGCGTGTATCTACGGTGTCGTGTTAAGGTCACACGCTGGCTGCCTGAATTCCCCTCTTTGTGTTTACACATCCGGGTTTCCCTGTTTGCAGCCCATTCCCCATTTAGGAGCCATTTTGGACACAGATCAGTAACATGCATGTAAACCCCGACCGACCTCCCGATGCAGCGGTGCTACTATTCAAGTGAATAACCTCAAAAAGAGCGCTGAGCTTTCGTCTCGGATGCTTTAAACGCTTTCCATTCGGTTTTTGGATCCACTTCCGACGCGAAATGCTGCCCGTATTACTGGACTAACAGTCAGTTAATCGCTCCTATCTTCTCTTGCAACATTGTTGCAGCGTCGCGGCTATTGACACGCGTTGTGGTGGTGGTTAGGCTGCTGGAGGGACCGGAGGCCTGTGGTCGTTTTGATCCTGGACTGATGTTTCGGACAACCTGAGTTTTAATGTTCGCGACGGAAAGCGGGGGAAATATCGGTCCTGAAATAAAAACGGAACATGTCTTTTTCATGGCTGACTTGTTCACTTCTTCTGGGAACTTTATGCGCAGGTAAGCTGCTTTTTGTTGGTTCTGAATTTGCAACAGTTTTGTTCTCCGAGTCCAGAGCAGAGACATTTAAGTGTGTAATTTGTTTGCGGTGGAAATTTCGACCCGCGAGCGAGTTTTCGTGTGTTTGTGGCTTAAACTTTTGTTGGCTGTAGATACTATCGGTCAGCGGTGGGGATTTGATTCTCTTACCATAATCGCCTTTTCTCTGTTTGCCCCCACAACCACCTCTAATGCACACACGGGAATTATTCGAGGGAAAGCCGAGACTTTTTACGCGAAGAAAATACACGAAACGGCATTAAATACAGCTTTTTAGGCTGAATAAATCCCCCCAAATATATCCAAATGTAAAACTGTTGCGTCCCCCTCGGCTTTCCTAACAGTGGCAGGAATAGAAGGCAGCAGCTGCATCAACATCCTGAAACCTTATAGGCTACATCAGGTCTGCTCTCCTGTTTGTGGTCACAGCCTCAACAAGAGCCTTTGATAACACCGTTTCCCCTAAAAGGATTTTCATAAATCAATGTGCGTTTGATTTGACGAGAGAGCAGCTGTTGTGTGAAGTCAGGTCTTTACCTCAAATTGAGGTTACTGTTACACAGTTTCGTCTCTAAAGCATGTGATTTGTAACCCCGTGAAATAGAGCATAATGGGTTGTTTTTTCTTTGTTTGGTGATTTTTTTTTTTGTGCCATTGTTTGCAACTCATATGTGTGTGCCCAACACGTTCATCTTTGTCCCTAGCTAGGCATTCCCTGTAGTGCTTTTACAATAATATCCACTTTGCCTTTCCACTTTTCCCCCGAACTGTAATACATTTTTCATTCAGGCAGCTGTCAAATAGCGCTGTGGCTAATGCCTTTATGGTTTATAGATTAGGACTCGGAGTATACAGTAAGTTGCTTCTCCAGAATTCATGTTGTTGTGGTGTAAGCCTCAGTAAGTGACAGAGGGAGGGGGGTTGGGGAATGATCTTGTAGTAAAAGTCCTCCCGGATCATGTGACCACAGAACAGAAATGCCATCTCTGCTCAATGGAGCATTGAACATCTCGACTGTGTGTGTGTGTGTTAATCTTTACCACCTTCATTTATTCAATACTTTATAATGAGAATGATGTTTGGTCATTGCATGCACCCCCTTATGCTATAATGAAATCCATTGTAAGCTGCCGACAACTAAATGTATGTGTGTGTGTTAGTGGATGCGTGCCTGTGTGTGTAATGGGTTGATGGGGGTAACGGTGGGGGATGGGCGGCCTCCTATAGGCAGGGATTTAAAGAGACAGCCACTATTTTTTCTGCGAACAAAGATTAGGCATGAATGTCCGAGAGCCATTGTGAATGACATGTTATCTGCTCCTGAATTAATCAAAAACACCTATATGTTCCTTCAGTGTGTCCAACACTAAATCCCAAAGAGAAAATAATTTAAAAAAAAACCTCAATCAGGAATTGTCGGAGACTGACAGCTTTGGTCAAGTCCCAACTTGGTTATAGGGAAACTATTCCTGCTAAATGACAGTAAAAGCCATTAAAGAAAAAGCTCTTATCTGTGTTTCCAGCTGTGTCACACTACAGCAAGT